TCTGCTTCTGCCAGGAGCCAGGGGGCACGGCCGGCAGGGAGCACTTCGGCCCTCCTTGAGGGCCCTGGCTCAGGGGAGCTGCTCAAGGCTCATCTCGCCCTCCTCCTCCTGGCTCACCTCTCAGCGTCACTCTCACTGTATTTGGTGGGTTATGAAGTGCTTTGGAGATCTTGGTAGACAGCAGAGCCTTGAAGAATCATGGCCTCTCTTTCCGGGGTAGTCTTTTTCTGTGGTTGCAAAGGTCCCCACGGCTCCAAGCCCACCACATCACTAGAAGCGGAAGTTCTCCAATCCGTTCCGCACACATTCCTGGAGCCATGACAACGTCATTGTTTGACGAGTGAATCTGACCATATTACGCTCTTGCTAAGCCCTTCAGGGTCGCCACCTTGTCTTCCAGTATAAAGTTCGAACAACTTACCTGGCGTACAAGGCCCCCTGGGACCTAGGCCCTGATGCTCTTGCCAGACTCATCTCTCTCAATTGTCCCCCTTCCAATATTTTCTTGGGAATAGGTGCCTGATCCCAAGTCTAGCTTAGGATTCCTGGAGGTCCTTCCCACCCTGTGCCTGTCATACGGTGTTGTAATTAGATGTATGACTGCCCCCCCCCCAAACTGTATGCTTCAGGAGTGCAGGAACCCCGACTCACCCACCACCATCCCCTCGGCACCTGGCACAGGTGCTCATCACATAGCTGCTGAATGAATGAATGAATGAATGAATGAGCGTGTGTTATTGAGCTCCCAGCGTTTTTTTCTTATTGTTTTTTTGTGAGTTATTTATATAGTAAAGATCTTCACACTGCCACTGGCTGGGAATATGGTCCCCAGGCTATCCGCCTTTTAATGTTGGTTAATTTTTGGAGATGGGAGGAACACAGGGAAGTTTTAAATTCGAATGTAAGCGGACCTATTGATTTTTCTCTCGAGAACTCTTCGATTGCTTCTAAGTTTAGAAAATCCGTCCCTCTCTGGATCCTTGATGAGTGTCCTGTACGTTGCTGTCAAGTTCATCTCCCCAACTCAGGGCTCTCCTGCTCAGAGTCTCCTTGGAGCCTTTGGGATAAAGTCCACACTCGTTCACTTGACCCCTAGGCTTTTCATGATTCGTCCCGAGCCCGCCCCTCTAGCCTTTTCCTCGCTGTCCCCAAATCAGCTGGAGCTCCCCAGGCGACGGGTCTACTTCTCTCCATGTGCCCTGCTCGCCCCACCTCCACGCCTTTGCTTGCGACGTGCCCTCTGCATAGGATGCCCAGCCTCCATGGCTTTCTTCTCTTTCTTCATTTCTATATATGTAAGCCGTGTTCTTGCTTCAAGCCCTCCTTTCTCCAAAAGGCCCCGCCTTCCCCTTCCGCCCGAAAGAGCAGAGGCTAGAGGGGTCAGAACATGAGCTTTGGAGCCAGACAAGCCTGGGTTAACATCCTAAACCCGTCGCTTGGTTTCTGTTGCCAAGTTATTTAACCCTTCCACGTCTCAGTCCCCTCATCCTTTTTTGTTTTTTTAAATATAGTTTTATTGATTTGAGAGAGGAAGGGAGAGGGAGAGGGAGACAGAAACATCAGTGATGAGAGAGAATCATTGGTCAGCTGCCTCCTGCTCGGTCCCCACTGGGGATGGAGCCCACAACCCGGGCGTGTGCCCCGACCGGGAATCGAACCGTGACCTCCTGGTTCACAGGTTGGCGCTCAGCCCCTGAGCCACGCCGGCCGGGTTCAGTTCCCTCACCTTTAATATGGAAACAGAAGGCCAAGAAGGACCACAGTGGGTGGTTTTGAGGGTGAACTGAGTCTGGTATCAAATGCCAGAACCCAGCGTGGCCCCAGCCCCACCCCACGCTCTGCCGTGTGGAAGGCCGTCCCCAGGGGTCTGTGGCGGGGGCATGTCCTGCCCTCCCTCTCTAGCCACATCTGCCCCTGGGGGTCTGGCCGGGTCTGGAATTCCACAGGAGCTGAGTTTTCGGCCACCTTGGTGGGACGCCCGCAGCCACTGGGCCCACAGGCCTCTCCTCTCTCCTTTCTGCATTGAGCTCTAAAGGTATTGTCAATAGGAAACATTTCTGTCTGCAAAGGGGTCCACCGGCACCCCCTGCGTCTGACGATCGGCGCCCACAGATCCACAGATCGGCAGCACAGATGGGTGGTCCTCCCAGTTTTACACTCCCCAGCCTTGGGGAGTGAGGGGCTCCGGGAGGCCTGGCGGCGGTGGCGGAGAAGTGGGAGCTCAGCCACGCATCCTGGCTCTCAGGGCCTCCGCCCTCGTCCGAGCCGGTCAGTGCTGGCGGGGAGCCCAGGGTCTGTGTGTTCTCTCTGTGACCCCAGAGCACCGAGCACCGCACTTGAGCAGCGGTCATTTGGGGAAGAGCAGGGATGACGACAATTCACTGGCTGGGGGGCGGGGTGGGGTGGGGTGGGGTGTCTGGGGCTGGGAGTCAGAGTGGGGACAGTCTGGACAGGAGAAGAGCAAGCTTATGATCAGGAGCCTGCACCCCAGCCCAGCTCTGCCCCCGCCTGGGGAGAATGCCTGTCCCCTCTGCACCCCAGTTGCTCAATCTGTAAAAAAAAAAAGGGGGGGACATAGAACAATCCTTATTGTGGGAGCGTAATGTTTTCAAAGTGCTGTCCTGTGCCGGGCCCCTCCTGGAGCCCAGCCCGTCCCTGGGGCCTGACCTCACCAGGGTGGCCCTATCGACCATCTGGCACCATTCGGCTGCCTTCCCCTCCGTCCTGTCCTTCCTCCCGGGCCGGGGCCTGACTCCAGCTCCCGCCGAGCTGAGCCGAGGGCAGTGTGTCGGACAGGCCGGGGAGGGGAGCCTCCAGCCCACATTTGACTTCTTGAGCCTCTTCCCCTCTCCCTGGAGCCCGCATCCTCTCCTCTGCCCTCTTGAAATCTGAGCCCAGGGACCCAGGCGGGACTCTCCTCGCCAAACACATTCCATCCAGTTGTCCAAACACTCACAGCTGGCGGAGGGAGGGCGCCAGCGCCAGGCTCCCAGCCCGTGGGCCGATGGAAGCGGTGGAGGCCTCACAGGGAGGGGCAGCCCTGGCTTCCCTGAGGGGTGCACTGGCGCTCACGGACTTGCCCGAGACCCCCTCCCAAGGCCTGGCCTCTGGGGGGAGGTCTGGGCTGCTGGGCCTGCCGGTGTGCACCACTGGCTCACGGCTGAGCAGGGAGGAGGCTGAGCAGCCAGTGAGCCGCCCTCGTGACTAGGCTCCTGGGGCGGGAGGGGGGAAGGGCGCTGAGAGAGCATCCAGAGCATCCCCGAGGTGACTTTGGCTGCAGCTTCCATGGGCAGGCAGTTTCAGAGCCGCTGCCTCTAGCCTCCGCTCACCAGTGACAGGGACAAGTCTCCAGCTTCTTCACCGGCCGCAGGGAGGTGTGGCCTCTCTGGCTGGGATTCTCCTAAGGAGTCCCAGCCCCAGACAAGACCCGCTCAGGCCCCACCTGCCCCAGCTGTGCCGCATGCCCAGAGAACAGTAACACTTCCTACACGCTTCCCAAAGCAACTGACTCAGTTTCCCCCCCTGGCCCCCACGGCTGGAGCCTGGCAGGGCGGGACCACCTCTCACATACTGTGTCACCAGCCCCTTCCCCTCCTACCATGTTGGGGTGACAGGGAGACCCCCCTTTTCACACATCCTGTTTTCCATTAATTGTTTCCAGGTGGGCCCAGAGGGCGCCCTGCAGAGGAAGGTGGGGGCACCGAAGAATTTCGCAGGGGATCGGTGAGGAGCAAAAACAGGAAGGGGGTGGGAGCAGGCCATGGAAAATTCTCCGCCAGGAAAGGGAGGCCACATCTGGTTTGCATTAGGCTGAGAGCTTCGAGCCTGAGCGGGAGATACTGTTATCCGCGGGCGGGCGGCGGCGGGCAGGGCGTGACTGCTAGCGGCCGGGCAGCCCCTCCCAGCGGGAACTCGGAGGCTGACCGGAAAGAGAGGGAAGCAGGGGCGAAGGGACCGGAAAGCTCGGTCTCTAACGTGGCAGCCACTTCACAGATCGTACCTTCTGAGGTGTTCTCCGCATCACAGGGCAGAAGGTTCCCATTTTATAGATGAGGAAACTGAGTCCCCAGGAGGTTAAGTGACTTGCCCAAGGCCACGCAGCCAGGCTGTGGCAGGACTAGGATTCCAGTTCAGACCGAAGGAGAGGGGCGAAGCAAGCAGCCCCTCCTGCTGGACTGAGGCTGGCCGTGAGCCACGAGAGGGGCCCCGAGGGCTGGCGATGAGCGTCAGCCAGCCTCGCTCGCCCTGGGGTGTCCCCAGCACCATGGGACGCTCACCATGTGTCTGAGGGCTAGAGCCCCACACCCGCAGAGGAAGAAAGCAATTCACAGAGAAAGGCTCCCTGGAGGAGGGGGCCTGAGCGGAAGAGAAATTTATCAGCGGGGTGGATGGGGTGCAAACTAGAGGAAGCAGGGTTAATGTGAGGAAAGGGAGGTGGCAGGGCATATCTGGGCAGGAGCAGCTAGGGGGTGAGATTCCGCTGTACAGTGGGGGAAACTGAGGCACAGAGAGCCTAATGTGTCCAGAGGTTCGTAGTCTGGGGGTGGAGCTGAGTCCGGCCTGACTCCAGGCCCGCACCCCTGACCGCTTCACTGAGCTGTCCCTTCCTGTTGGTGGTGAAAGGTTTGAAGGGGACAGGGAGGCCAGGCCAGGGGTTAGGGTTGGGAGGCAGGGGGCCGTACCCAAGGCCACACCGCCAGCGATGGAGAGAGTTGGGGCCGGCCAGGCTGCCCATTGCCCACGTGGGCAAGCAGGGAACGGCCGCCTCTCTGTGGGCCTCGCTGAAGCCTGGGGCCTGGGGCAGGGGGAGGTGGCTCCCGCAGGCTTTGACGGCTCCCCTTCCCAGGCCCGGAGCCCAGGGAGCAGGGCCCCAGCATTTTCTGGGGCCTGCGGAGCCACAGGAGTTAATAATTACGGGTCTGAGGAGATAGAGGCCTGTCTGGAGGCCCCTCCCTCCCTCCCTCAGCTGCTTCGCAGAGATAGCAAAGGTTAGCGTGAGCCTGGGGGCGGGGAGAGGCTCTGCACCTGCCCAGCGTCTCCAGAGGGACCCTGGTCCGCCCTCCAGGCATGGACCCCCCTGAGGAGCGCACCAGGTGCCCTGCCCGCGGGAGGTGCCCCGTGTACCTGGCGGTGAGCTCAGGGACTGTTCGCTATGCCCCATCAGGTCTGGGCCCTGCGCTGGAGGGGAACGTGGGAGAGGAGCCCCGGGACACAGACAGGTAAGCCTGACCTGGGACCGGAGGGGAAGGGGGGACCTCGCCCCTCTCCAGGGGGCTGGGGAGGGTTAGACGCCAAGTTGCGCACAGGGACTGGCCCGGAACTAGGAGGGACTTCACGGGCCTCTGACAAGGTCAGCGAGCGGGGGGCCCTGACTGTCTTGTCCAGCTTGGCGGTTCTACAGACGTAGAGGCTGAGGCTCAGAGAGGAGCAGACGGTCACCCCAGGCCACACGGGGGGCTGAGGACAGAGCCAGGAGCCGGGTCATCCAGGCTGGTGGTTCTGCTCCACATCTCCCGCCCGCCAGGGGTCAGAGCTGGGGATGGGGCGCCGGGACGGCCAGGATGTGGCGGGGAAGGGAGATCTGGGGAGGCCAGTGGCTCTATTTCTCCCACGCACCTGGGAGGCACCCCTTGTTGCCTGACTGCGAGCAGCGGTAGCTTCCAGTGCTTTCTGGGCTGTGTTTTCAGGAAAACGGGTAAAACGGGTAAAACAGGTCTCAGCCCCTTGGCCTCTGGCTGTGTGACATCAGGCAGGTTCCTTACCCTCTCTGAGCCCATCCTGTTCAGTTGAGCAGGAGAGCTTACTGGGCTGTGGGAGAAGCTGGTGAGCCTGCGAGTCCCAGATAACTGGGTACACAGATGATGGGATATTTTTGGTTAGTAATCGGGGTGTCGATGCTCCCACAATGGTGACCCCACACTCGCCTGTTGAGGCCTCGCTCAAGCACCTCCACAGCCCACCAGCCCCCCCACATGAGGATTCTTCCTCTGGAGCCACGGCCCTGGGCTGCACACCCTCCACCCCATCCCTCCCTTGTCTGGGTTGTCTCCTGTCCGGGCTTGTGACGATGGAGGGGAAGGGTCCTGCCCTGAGCTCCGCTTATGTCATCTCCTCCCCCTTCCCCTAAACAGTAAACAGAGCTAGGGCCAGGAAGACAGCAGATTTGGTGAGGATTCCAATCAACAAACACGATGACATCTGCTTTCAGCCAGACCCTGGGGTGCTGGGCTGGGCCGGGCTGGGGTGGGGTGGACTGGGGTGGGCTGGGGTGGGTGGAGCAACCCAGCACCAGGAAGGAGCTGGTCCCTGTCCTGGGGGAACCAGAGTCTTGGAAACAGTTGGCCTGCAGCGTGAAGGGCCTGGGGGGCCTGGGCAGAATGATTCTGGGAGGGACTCACCCAGAGGAGGCCCCCAGGGGCTCCCTGTCCAAGGAGCTGGCCAAGGGCACGAGGGAAGGAGGGAGCAAGGCATATAGCCCGGCCTGCTCTCCGCTCAGCGAGCCCTGAGCCTGGTGTGGGCTGTGCACACCGAGGAAGGGACCCTGTTTTCTATTTTGAACAAACACACAGCTCACTAAGCAGTAGGTGCGCCCTGGGCAAGTGGTGGCCCTGGACGTGGGGGGCTTGAGGGTACGGCCCCATCCCCCCAGCTCCCCACCCACTGTCCCGGAGCCTGAGGAGGACAGAGCCTGTGGCTGGCCGTTTCCTTTGGGTCCCCCGCTCTTGTAAGGTCCCCAGTTTGTACTTTGAATGAATGAATGAAGTACAGAGGTGCCCCCAGATGAAGACCTGACAAAGCCAAGCCTGGGCCCTGTGGGGCTGGGGGACTAGTGCCCCGAGTTCTGGCAGCATCCGGAGGGAAGTGTCTCCTTCCAGGCCTCCCCGAGAATGGAGGGCAGGAGCCATGGTCCCCCAGGAGAGGAGAGGAGGGGCTGTGCTGTCACTGGATCAGGCCCAGGTTGAAGTTGAGGCCAAGGCGATGGTCACAGCTCAGGATGGGTAGCAAGGGCCCGGGAGGTCGAGGTGCAGAAGGGCCAATGGTCTGGGGTTCAGGGAGTTTTGCAGAGGCTGTGGGACCAGGCGGGTGTGTGTGTGCGGGGGGCATTCCTCCAGAGAGAAGACTGTGGGCCAGGATGAGGACTGGCGACTTGGGCCAAAGGTGGCTCCTGCCTGGGACCCGCGCTTTGGGGCCTGTCCCGGGCCCACCAGGCCGGACGGTGCTGTGTCCCCGTGCGCGGGGCCGGACTCGGGGCCGGTGGCCGGTGGGAGGGTGTCTGGGGACCTATCGCGGCGATCCGGTCGGAAGCAGGAAGCCGGGGCCACGGCGGGTTCTGGAGCGGAGCGGCGAGCGGGCTGCGCGGGGCGGGCGGCGGGGCTGGAGCCCAGGAGCCGGGGCGCCGCGGGCCGCGGGGTGATGCGTCCGGCTCCTCCCCGCGCCCGGACGGCCAGTCCCGCGGGCCCTGCGGCGGCGGAGGGCGGGGCCGGGCACGTGTCCCCCGGCCGCCCCGGGGCCACGTGACCCCCGAGGGCAGGGTTTGGGGCTGAACTGGGGCCGGGGCGCGAGCGGCGGCCGGACCGACGGACAGGCTGCGGGCGGGACTGACCGGCGGCGGGGCCGGGGGCCGGCGGCCGGCGCGGGGCGGGGTCGGCGGCGGCGGGGACGCGGCGCAGGAGGTCTCGAGGCTCCGGGATGTGGAGCGGGTAGGTCCCGGCGCGCTCGCGGCTCTGCGCGGGGTCGGGCGCGGCTGCCTCCTGGCTGGGAAGATCGGGGTCCCTGCGGGGTCTGCACCCCCCCCCCCACTGGAAGGGGCTGTGTCCCCAGCACCGGGACGGAGCGCCGCCTCTCAGCCGGCGATGGGGACACTCCGCGGGGAGGAGGGGGGAGGGGGAGGGGGAGCGGGTGGGGGGCAGCGAGTGGAAGGCGGTGACAGACCGTCCCAGGCTGCGTGACAGCGCCAACTCCTCTAGCCCATGGGGGGGCGGGGGTGAGTCAGAGTGAATCGGGGTTCGGGGTGCGCACCCCGAGGAGGCCCCCGGCTAGGAACACCCTTGGGAAGCGGTGCCGCTGGCAAGAGGGCTGGTCTCTGCCGAAGTCGCTTGCAAGTTGCTGAGCCTCCGCCTGGGCTCCTGGGCCGGCAGGGCTCAGAGGTGCGGGGTGGGGCCCCCTCAGCACCCTGTCTGCTCGCTGGCGCTCAGGGTGTCCCGCCCTGGCCCTGGCCGCCTGGAAAGGCCCTGGGCTTCTCAGGGAGCTGGGCAGACTCTGCCTCTTTCCCATGGAAAGACCAGGTCCTGGGCGGGATGTGGCGGGAGTGAGGGTGTTTGTGTTCATTCCTATAAGGACCTGGCCAGATGGACGGTCCCAGGACCAGGCTCCCAAACTCAGCGGGGAGTGAGGGCAGCCCCCGGGAGGCGCGGGCTGGAGAGTTCGCAGCAGACCAGGTCCGCGGTACTCGGTGCTGGTCCTCCCGGTGCTGGTCCTCCCGGTGCTGGTCCTCCCGGTGCTGGTCCTCCGGTGCTGGTCCTCCCGGTGCTGGTCCTCCGGTGCTGGTCCTCCCGGTGCTGGTCCTCCGGTGCTGGTCCTCCCGGTGCTGGTCCTCCCGGTGCTGGTACTCTGGTGCTGGTCCTCCCGGTGCTGGTCCTCCCGGTGCTGGTCCTCCCGGTGCTGGTCCTCCCAGTGCTGGTACTCTGGTACTGGTAGTTCATGGCACCCAGCACAGCCTGAGTGGAGATGCTGGGGGAGGAACAGGCTTCATCCCAGGGGGAGGGGGGGACTGAGAGAGTGGGCTCCTGGGATGGGAGGGGGGATGTGTAGAGAGGCTGGAGACTTTTTAAGAAATATATATTTTTATGATTTCAGGGAGGAAGGGAGAGGGAGAGAGAGAGAGAAACATCAATGATGAGAGAGAATCATTGGTCCGCTGCCTCCTGCACACCCCCTATTGGGGATCAAGCCCAAAACCCGGGCATGTCCGGTCCGTGACCTCCTGGTTCTTAAGTTGACGCAGGCGGCGGGGTGAGAGTCTGGAGACTCTTAGAGGGAGCGCGTGTTCTTTGGCGCTGCACCTGGAGGGAAGGAGCCTGCGTTGAGGGAGAATGTGGAGGGCGTTGGTGGTACCTGGGGAGGGGAGGCAGGCTGCCCGGGGTTAACTGTGCCTGAGGAGCAGCCTGGCCTGGAGGGAACGTGGTGTGCCCACGGCAAAACACAGCTGCTAGTTGCTGCCTGTCTGAGAGTGTCTCCCTTCCCCGGGCCTCCAGGTGCAATGAGCAGGGTGGGTGGGGAGGGATCCAGGCCCTGGAGGCATCCAAGCCAGGGCTGGACCGGACCGCCGGGCGGGCGCCACCGGGAGATGGCCCCTCTCTTTAAGGACCGAATGGGGGAGACTAACTACCCCAGGTGCTGGGGACGGTCCCCGCCCAGCCTCCCTGCCACATTCCCAGGAACAATCCGGACAAACCCGCTGCCAAGCCGACCCCCACGTGACCCTCTGTAGTCTCGCTTCTTGTATGAACATGGAATCCCCCGGGGTCTAGCCGGGGGCCAGGCACGAAGTAGGTGCTTCCTAAATGCAGACGGAAAGCATGAGGGGGCAGGATGGGGAGCCGGGTGCCCGGGGAGTGCGGGGCAGGGTTTTGGGGTTACCTTGACCACTGCCTTTTTATGGACCCCTCACTTGGATATTGGAGGCAGGGATGGACAGATCAGGGGCCCAGCTGCCAGCACCCACTGGGGCCTGGCGCCCTTGAAGCTCGCCCAGACCCCAGCAGCAGCTGGAGGGACCCTGTGGGGGGGGTCACACTTGCCCTCATACCTCCGGCGAGCTGCTTGTGCGTGTGGCCCCGTCGCTCATGGGAACTCATGGGGTCCTGCCTCCTAGACGGGGAGGATCCTGGCGTCCTCATCTGCAGGATGAACTGAGGCATCGCTCTTGGGGTGACTGCTGCTCCAGCCAGGGCAGGTGCTGGGTCAGGACGCTGCAGGGGCCCAGCTGCACCCTCTCTCTCGGGACTCTGAGCGTGGGCCATAGCTCTGGACCCAGAGGCAGCTGCCCCCAAGCTGGCTGCACCCCACCCCCACCCCCCACAGGCCCCAAATCTATAGTTTTGGGCACCACGCCTGCTCTGAGGGGATGGGGCGAGGACAGCATCTGGGGTACCTCTGCCGCTCACACTGTGCTAGGCACTTGGGACTTGGCCGGCAGAGGCCAGAGGCTGGAGTCTGG